TCAGCCCTCCTGCCCGCCCTGCGGATGCGCTTCCAGCCCCCGTGACTGTAGGGCCTGCTCAGACAGTAGAGCAAAATACCACCAACTGGGCCCTGGCCACAACTGACAGTCCTTCCTCACAGTTCTGGGCAGTGAGAACAGGGTGCCAGCACAGTGGGGGAGGGGGGGCCTTCCTGGTGTCAACTTCTCATGGTGCCCTCACGTGCAGAACCCGCAAGAGAGCTCCCTTGGGCGCCTTTTGTCAGAGCACTAACAGGGCTCCTCCCTCATGACCCGATTGCCTGCCAAAGGCCCCACCGACTAATACCAGGCGATTGGGTGCTCGGATCCCAACAGGAGAATTTGCTGGGACACACATATTCTGGCCAGAGCAGCCAGTTTCTATTCTTTTACTTAATCCCTCCCTATTTCACCCAGCCCTACACAGCTGTCAGTCTGTTCTCTGCATCTGTGAGTCTGTTCCTATTTTGTTAATGTTGTTCATTAGATTCCACATATAAGTGAGATCATGTGATACTTGTCTTTCTCTGACTGGCTTATTTCACTCAGCATGATACTCTCCAGGTCTCTCCATGCTGTCACAAATGGTAAGATTTCCTTCTTTTTTACAGCCATGTGATATTCCATGGTGTAGATGTACCACAGCTATTTTATCCCTTCATCTCCTGATGGGCACTTGGGCTGTTTCCATATCTTGGCTATTCTATATAATAAAGAGGTAATATGCAAATTGACCATCATACCCTCACAGAAAGATGGCCGCCCCCATGTGGGCACAAGATGGCTGGCATGGGAGGGCAGTTGGGGGTGAACAGGCCTGTAGGGGAGGGCAGTTGGGGGCAACCAGGCCAGCAGGGGAGGGCAATTGAGGGAGACCAGGCCAGCAGGAGAGGGCAGTTGGGGGCAATCGGGCCAGCAGGGGAGCCATTAGGTGTCAATCAGGCTGGCAGCAGAGTGGTTAAGGGGTGATCAGGCTGGCAGGCAGGTGAGCGGTTGAGAACCAGCAGTCCTGGATTGTGAGAGGGATGTCCCAGATTGGAGAGGGTGCAGGCTGGGCTGAGGGACAGCCCCCCGCCCCCCCAGTGCACGAATTTCATGCACCAAGCCCCTAGTTATAAATAATGCACATAGGGTTTCATATATTTGAAATCAGTGTTTTGGGGTTTCTTTGGAGATATTCTCAGAAGTGGGATGGATGGTCATAAAGTAGTTCCATTTTAATTTCTTGAGGAAACTCCATACTGTTTTCCACAGTGGCTGCACCAGTCTGCATTCCCACCAGCAGTGAACCAGGGTTCCATTTTCTTCACATCCTCACCAGCATTTGGTGTTTGTTGATTTATTGATGATAGCCATTCTGACAGGTGTGAGGTGATATCACATTTTGCTTTCATTTGCATTGTTCTGATCATTAGTAACATTGAGCATCTTTCCATGTCCTCTTTGGTGAAGTATTTATTCAGGTTCTTTGCCATTTTTTTAATTGAATTGTTTGTTTTTTGGGTGTTGCGTTGTATGAGCACTTTATAAATTTTGGATATTAACCCCTAGAGTGCCAGGGAGCGTGATCATGCTCCTCCTGTCTTTTGCCAAAAGTGCCGGGAGCGCTATCAAAGCTTCGAAATGGCGTCCACTTCTAAGTCTGCTTTTATTAGTGATGGTGACATTGCTAAATATGTCAATGTAGTAAAGGTTTCCTTAAGTTTTTGAATATGTAACTGCATTTACTTGTGATTCATAATTTTTTTCCTAAACCTCTGTAAAATCAGCAAAAATGCCTTGGCAATTTTAGCATAGTTCCTAGGATATTGGTTGGCACTCAAAGGGTTAACCCCATATCAGATGCATCATTGGTGAATATGCTCTCCCATTCAGTGGATTGTCTTTCCATTTTGTTGACAGTTTCCTTTGCTTTGCAAAACCTTTTAGTTTGATGTAGTCCCAGTTGTTTATGTTTGTTTTGTTTCCCTTGCCCGAGAAGTTATATCAGAAAAAAATATTGCTAAGAGAAATATCCAAGATTTTACTGCCTGTGTTTTCTTCTGGGTTTTTTATGGTTTTGAGTCTAACATTTAAGTCTTTAATCCATTTTGAATTTATTCTTGTGTGTGGTGTAAGGAGGTGGTCTAGTTTTATTTTTTTTTGCATGTGCCTGTCCAATTTTCCCAATACCACTTCTTGAAGAGATTGTCGTTATCCCATTGTATGTTTTCACCTCCTTTGTTAGATATTAATTGACAATAAGCCATGGTTGATCTCTGGGCTCTCTATTCTGTTTCATTAGTCTATGTGTCTGGTTTTATGCCAATACCATGCTGTTTTGATTTCTACAGCCTTGCAGTATAGTTTGATATGAGGTATCTTCAACTTTGTTCTTTCGCAAGATTACTTTGGCTATTCAGGGTCTTTTGTTGTTTCACATAAATTTTTGGAATATTTGTTCTAGTTCTGTGAAATACACCAGTGGTATTTTGATAGGAATAGCATTGAATCTGTAGATTGCTTTGTGTATTGTGTAGTATGGACATTTTGATGATGTTAATTCTTCCTATCTATGAACACAATATATGCTTCCACTTATGTGTATCTTCATCAATTTCTTTCTTCAGTGTCTTATAATTTTCTGAGTACAGGTGTTTTATCTCCTTGGTTAAATTTATTCCTAGTTATCTTATTTTTCTTTTACAATTGTAAATGAGAGTGTTCTCTTAGTTTCTCTTTCTCATAGTTCGTTATTGGTGTATAAAATGCCACCAGTTTCTGAATACTAATTGTGCATCCTGGCAGCCACATTTTAAGGCTCAGTGTCATTTACCACAGAATGGGCTCCTCAAGTTAGGGCCCTTAAAAGTTGTGATGAGAGTGACAGCTCATTTTTAGTATCAAGAGTCTTTGTGACTTGTTACATCATGAACTGACCAGCGATGAGGGGCTAACTGAAAAATTACTTTGTTTTAATTGGACCATAATGACATCATCTCGGGGTGATAACCATGCCTCTCACATGTTACTCAGCATTCTGGCTGACACAAGCCAGCTGGAAAAACAAGTGAGGTGTGACTCATTTTGGTTTGACAGATCAAGTCTTTCAAAGCATGGAGCTCACCAGAGGGTGATTAATGGGCAATTACAGTGTCGCCACTGTTAACCCCACTGGTCTGGTGACCACTAAGTCGCTTCCAGTATCACCTGCTAAGACTGATCATGGCTATGTATTTGCACAGACAGCAGATATCCCTAAACACAGGGCCCTGTGGACACTGGTCAGGCATAACAACTGCCATTATCCTTGCCAGCCCTCTCCAAGCCCACATCCCGCCTTCCTGCCCTCCCCTGACTACCGGCTCCCAGCTCTGGTCTCTCAGGTGCCACACCATGTGCCAACTTCCTGACATCTGAATTACAATCCCAGAGCACCCTGTGCCCCATTTCTCAGGGGCTCAAATCCACTCCATGTTCAGCAAATGTCCATAGGGGTTCAGAGCCAATAAGTTAATGAGGGCCTTCTAGAGAGGTGATGTGTTTCCTTAAAGAAGCATCTCTGCCCTAACCGGTTTGGCTCAGTGGATAGAGCGTTGGCCTGCGGACTGAAGGGTCCCAGGTTCGATTCCAGTCAAGGGCATGTACCTTGGTTGCGGGCACATCCCCAGTGGGGGGTGTGCAGGAGGCAGCTGATCGATGTTTCTCTCTCATCGATGTTTCTAACTCTCTATCCCTTCCCCTTCCTCTCTGTTAAAAAAAAAAAATCAATAAAATATATTTTTAAAAAAGAAGCATCTCTGACCAAAATAAGCAAACAAACACAGTCCCTCTCGCCCAACTGGTGTGGCTCAGTGGTTGAGCATCAACCTATGAACCAGGAAATGACAGATCGATTCCTCGTCAGGACATGTGCCCAGGTTGCAGACTAGATCCCCAGTGTGGGACATGCAGGGGGCAGCCGATCAATGATTCTCTTTCACCATTGATGTTTCTATCTCTCTTTCTCCCTTCCTCTCTGAAGTCAATAAAAACATATTCTTAAAACAAAAACAAAACACAAAAATAAACGCAGTCTCTCTCTCACAGACTCCAAGCAGGTGGCCTGAATGCAGTGCACCTTGTCCAACTGTGAGCCGCTTCCGAGGGCGAACTCTCCATCGTGGGGTAAAGACCTCCAGGTGGCCTCCCGCCTGCCAGCTGCTGCAGCTGTGAGGTCACAGGGCACGAGCTTCAGCAGCGGGTCGGAGAAGGTGGCGGAAACCTTCTGGGTGGCATGAGGTACCTCACTTTTTTCCAGAACCTGGCCTTCGCACACGGTGACTGCGCTGTGAAGTCCCTGCTCCACTGGACGGACCCGTGCTTCTGTCTGAGATACTGGATCGACTCTGGCATGGATGCATAGCTCTCGACTTTCTCCACCTCAATCAGAATGACCTTCATCCCATCCTGGATGAGAGCGTTGTAGATTGCAATTTGTTCTTCTGACATGTTCTTTAATAGGTCAAAGCCCAGCGGTTCAGGAACTAAGATGATGATCAGTCGCCTGCACAGCTTAATGTTCTCATCGATGACATTGGCCACAGCTGCACACAGAGAAAGAGAAGCAGAAGATCTCATGAGTAAAGCAGCCTGGATCTTAATGCTCTTGAGGACACTAGAAATGGACCCTAAGAATAAACATTAAAATAGACATGACTTAGCAATGGATTAACAAGTTGTCTTTTGACATCGTCACCCTCTCTGTGAAAACGTCCTTACTGTCCCTGAAGCATTGGTCCTTTATATTCTTGAATCACCGTTTTGATAGTTAGTTGTTGGTATGTCACTTTCCTCAGCTCACACAGGCATGAACTGCTCAGAACAGGGTCTGATCAGGCCTCGTTTTGCCACTCTTAGCTGGAGGTCTGGTATAAGATGATGAACATATTTTTAAAAAATAAATACATTTTAAAAGAATAAGAAGTTAGCTCAAATGTCATCTTAATCTTTATTCGCGTTTTCCTCTTATGCTTTATAGCTATTTAAATGACCAGGATTTATATACCCTGATGGTTTCTGGTGGCAGGAAGGGGAGAGTTCCTGAAATAAGTTGGTCTTTTTCAGAATAAAGACCAAGTTTTATATCCTCCTTATTCTTAGAATATATGAATAGATAATAACCTCCCCAAAAGCAGACTTTTTATTTTTGGTTACTTTTAACATTTCTAGAGCCCAGAACACTACCTGGCACATAGCAAGTGCTCAATAAATATTTGTTGAATAAGTGAGTGAATGAAGATGGATCCGCTTATGAAAGGAGAGTTCTTCCACATGTTTATCATAAGCACTGGACTGAAGTTTCATTTCCTCATAGAGGGTGATCTCAGAACATGGGAAGGTCTGGGCGGAGATATAGCTGTGGTCTCTGTGGGTATAAGTAGCCTGTAAGTCCAAAGTAGTTAGAAACCTTTAAAAGCGGCCCAGAATAAGCCACTACCAACTGCAATAAAGTAGTAATCTTGGTTCCTGATGACTAGAAAATGAGACTTATTTCAAATTTCAGCCATTGACTGTATAGCCATCGAAGGGGAAATCTTTGTCCTCTGAGTGTCTAATCCAGTGGTTCTCAACCTTCCTAATGCCGCGACCCTTTAATACAGTTCCTCATGTTGTGGTGACCCCCAATTTCATTGTTACAAATTGAACATAATTAAAGCATAGCGATTAATCACAAAAGCAATATGTAATTATATATGTGTTTTCCGATGGTCTTAGGCGAACCCTGTGAAAGGGTTGTTTGACCCCCAAAGGGGTGGCGACCCACAGGTTGAGAACCGCTGGTCTAATCAGTGCTGCTTAAGGTTCTACTCATTTAATTCTCTCAACCAAGTCAGGGAAGCATTCTTATCCCCCTATGACAGATGAACCACCTGAGGTTCAGCGATGTCAGCTACACAGCCCAAAGCTATACTGCTATTAAATGAGAGAAGTAAATACCTCTTCTATTTAGTAGGGGAGGGTTAGGGGTTGAGGGTTAGAAAATCCACTTTAAACATGAGCTTATTTACATGCTCCAACTGAAAAAAATACGCAGCAGTTAGTCTCAAGGACATCAGGGCAAGCGACCATTTTCAGTCTCTGTGCCACCCACCACCTGTGCACATGGAAGGGTTTTAGAAGCCTATGCCACCCACCACCTGTGCACATGGAAGGGTTTTAGAAGCCTATGCCACCCACCACCTGTGCACATGGAAGGGTCCAAGCCTATGCCACCCACCACCTGTGCACATGGAAGGGTCCAAGCCTATGCCACCCATCACCAGTGCACATGGGTGGTTTAGCCATATCCTTGCTCAGAGTGAGAGTCATGGTGTTTCAATCAGGGTCTCTGTTATCCTGTTGCAGGAATGAGCTGAACGGGAGAGGGGAGTTGGGTTCTAAGCTCCCAGCTCAGGGTTGAGAGCTGGGAGGTGGAAGACTTCCTGTGGTTCGGTGGGGAAGGCAAGCAGAGTCCCTACCATTTGTAAAGTGAAGGAAGGGAAAGTTTCCTTTAATTTTTTTATTCATTTGTTGTTTTTCTCCCTCAGTTAACACATACCTTGTCCAGGAAACTCATCCCTGCCAAATATAAATAGCTTATATCCACACTGCCTCTCCAGCACCTCGGGCAGAGCCCTCAGAACCAGCGTGTCCACATCAGAGCTCCGGCAGTCGCGTGGAGGCTTGGGGTACAAGACGTACGCATCATACAGCTTCCCGTCTGAAAGAGAAATGTGGCGAGCTCCTGGAACGATTCCTACCAAGCCCTTCCTACATGAACAAGGTGGAAATCGGAGTTGCTACCACGCTGTCCTCTTCGCTCAGGTCTGATGGCTTCAGAGTGCCCAGCTGGCTGACTTGGTGCCAAGCATTGTTGCTCTCAGCATCACATTCCTTTAACACTTAAATATTTCACTCCACTGGCTTCTTGCTTGCATGGTGTCTGAGAAGCTGAGCATAATTTCTATCTTTGCTTCTCTATGGTTAAGGTGACTTTTTGCCTCTGGCTTCTTTTGGGATATTTTTTCTTATCTTGGATTTTCTGTAGTTTGAAAATAATGTGCCTAGGTGTATGTGAGTTTTTTGGTGGGTTTTTAAAAATATTTACCACACTTGGTGTTCTCTGAGCTTCCTGGATTTGTGGTTTAGTGTCTAACATTAATTGGGGGAAATTCTCAGTCATTACTGTTTCAAACATATCTCTTCCTTTCTCTCTTTCTTCTCCTTCTGGGACTCTCATTAGACTTTACCCCTTCTGTGGTTGTGCCACAGTCATTTTATGTTTAGTTTAGTTTTGTTTTGTTTTACAGTCTTTGTTCTCTTCACTTTTCAGTTTGGGGGGTTCCTACTTAGTTATCCTCAAGCTCAGAGACTCTTTGCTGGGCCATGGCCTATCTAACAAGCCCATCAGGCAGCCTTCACTTTTGTTATACTGCCCCCCTGTGGTGCAGCTGAAAAGAATTGGAAGCAAGAGTCTCCATCACTGTCACTGCCGATGGGTCCTGTGCAACAGAGTGCTGTTCTAAAGGCACCAGGTGACGTGGGCTAAATCCTCACAATGTAGCCCCACCGGTGAATCCCATCATGGAAACTGCACACTCTACAAGGAAACCAAACAGCAGACTCTAGGAATTGGCTGTGCCATGCTAAGAACTCAAACACCATTGCACATCATCATGTCAGAGTGAGCCAGTGTATACTGACCAGCCACAGGCTACAGCCACTGTGCTCACAGTGCACAGATGAACAAGACCCAGATATATCATCGGAAGGCCACTCATGAATGTAGAAATAAACAGCATGCAGCACTGTAAGTTAGCAAATGATTGAGTGAACAGAAGAGACCCAGCAGTTCTCTTAAAGGGCCAGGTACACGAAGTTACACAGTTCCTCTTCTCCTGAGCACCAGCTCTGGGTAGCAGCTTTGGGGGATCCAGGGACATATGGGGAGCAACTGGATTATCTGGCATCAGGGCAGGAACTCAGGGGTGGCTTTCTCACAGACAGGGGTGCTCATAGGTGTCATTGTCCCCCATCCCAGAGCTGACTGGCAGCCATATCTGAGTTTCCATCAGCATGGCCCACACTTTTCGCCCCATCCTGGTGATTCCCTGAGACCCTGCCCCATCCAAATTGCAGCCCCACTCAAGCTGTTTGCAGAGGCTTTTCCATTTGAATGGCCTGTCCTGGCTTACGCTTCAGACTTTGTTAAAATTTCTTAAACAAGCAGAAGGTGGCATCAGCATGCCCCAATAAAAGGCCCAGACTATCAATAAAAGTCCCAAGACCTGGCACTAGCACCAGCCTGCCTTGCTTCACAGCTTGGCCTCCCCTGGGCACGTCCAAGCCCAATACAAGTAGCAGCCATTGCAGATCTCTCTGTAGCTCTTGACGGATGGCCCAGGCAGTGGCTGAATTTGTACTTCCCAGGAGGCCCTAGAGTCAGTGCACTCAGTGGGCAGCTTCAGACCACACCAGCTTACAACTCTACACATCCACAAGCAGCACACTCAAGGAGAAGACTCAGTGAGCACCAAAGCCCCACTGAAGCACGTCCTGCTCCATAAGGGTGTCTCCTGCACAGCAGCTCTTCCACTATAGTCACAGCTGGTCCTCACAGCCAATTTGCCTAGAAGTCAACTCCTCCCAGTAATGCCAACAGCAATCAAGGCTCAACTATAAGACTGTGTGCACAACCCACACAGGGACACACCTAGAGTACCCAACTCAGGTGACTGGGGAGGCTGAGTCACTGGGCCCTACAGGACACCTACTACACAAGGCCACTCTATCAATTCCAGGAGACATAGCAGCTCTACCTAATACATAGAAACAAATACAGGGAAGCAGCCAAAATGTGGAGACAAAGAAACATGTCACAAATGAAAGAACAGAAGAAATCTCCAGAAAAAGAAGTAAATGAAGTAAAAGCAAGCAAATTACTAGATACAGAGTTCAAAAACATGGTTATAAGGTTACTCAAGGACATTCATGAAAGCTTCAAGGGACTTAGTGAGACTTTCAAGAATCTTAGTGAGAATTTCAGACATGAAAAAGAACCAGTCAGAAGTTAAGCATACACTAACTAAAATAAAGAATAATTTACAGGGACTCAACAGTAGAGTACAGGATTATGAGAATCAAATGATTGATTTGGAATATAAGGAAGAAAAAAAAAAAACCACCCAAACAGAACAGCAAAAAGAAAAAAGAATCCAAAAATATGAAGATAGTGTAAGGAGCTCTGGGACAACTTCAAGCTTACTAACATTTGATTATGGGAGTGCCAGAAGGAGAAGAGAGAGAGCAAGATATTGAAAACCTATTTGATGTAATAATGATGGAAAACTCCCTCTACTGGTGAAAGAAATAGACTTACAAGTCCAGGAAGCACAGAGAGTCCCAAATAAGAGGAACACAAAAAGGACCACAACAAGACACATCATAATTAAAATGCCAAGGGCTAAAGACAAACCCCTTCTGTGGTTGTGCCACAGTCACAAAGAGAGAATCTTAAAAGCAGCAAGAGAAAAGCAGTTAGTTACCTACAGGGAGAACCCATATGACTATCAACTGATTTCTCAACAGAAACTGCAGGCCAGAAGAGAGTGGCAAGAAATATTCAAAGTGATGAATAGCAAGGACCTACAACCAAGATGACTCTATCGAGAAAAACTATCATTTAGAATTGAAGGTCAGATAAAGACCCTCACAGACAAAAAAAGCTAAAGGAGTTCATCTCCACCAAACCAGTATTACATGAAATATTGAGGGGTAATACACACACACACACACACACACACACACACACACTAGAGGCCCAGTGCATGAATTCATGCACAGGTGGGGTCCAGCTTGCATAGCCACATTGGAGCGGATCGCGGCTGCCCCTGTCGGGAGGAGGAGAAGGTGGGAGGTTGGATGGCTGACCCGCCCTGATCAGCGCCAGGCCGGCTGGGGGGAGGGGCTGCGGGTGATTAGTTCGCCGGCCCTGCCCCTGATTGGG